GGGGGCGGTGGTGGCGGAGGATGTGGTGGAGGGGCTGCTGCCATGATATAACCAGACTGCTGTGGGGACTGAAGAACAACAGTAGACTGGAACATGGTGGCATGAGGGTCAGAACCATCAGCGGATGGCTGGCGGGCAAGACTCATGTGGCTAAACTGAGACCCAAGGTTATCCTGCTAAAAAAGAAAAAAAAAAAAAAACAACCAGAAATTAGGATGCCTACACAAAGGCCAAACACCAAAGAAAAGTATTTCATATTTTTAAATGAGTTGCAGTAGTACATACTATGGAGATCACATAAATCTACAATAGAAATGATGTGACAGAAGAGCAACTTCAGGAAAATGAGAACTCTAAGACAGGAATATTAAAATGCTGTCATTAAAAATTATTTACAAAATATATCTAATGAAAATGTATAGCATGCAGAAAAGAGTAGGGTACAACATGTCAGATTAAAAAATAAAAAAACATTTATTTAAATGAAGATTAAAGACATATTAGAGTGTGAAAGTGGAATTGGGATATGCTTACAAGATATAATTAATATTTTATGAAGGAATTTCACAGACCAAACAATGAGCAAAGTACCCTCTTTCTAAAAGGCAAGATTCAGGTTCTATGCATCTTTGTATCCTTTAATAATAAAAATTTGCAGAAATACATAAAATTCAACTACCCAGTACTTTCTATAATCTCTCAAAAATAATTTGGCCACGAATTCTACTCTTCCCTTGTGCTTTCCAGTCTGTTTCTAAAGTCAGATGTTAGGCAAATGCAATTCAAATGACAGTTTCCTATTGCATTTGCCAAATGATGAGCAGCCAGTGATGCCCTGCCAAGATAGGGGTTATGATTTATGTGCTATCTGACGAGTGTTTCTCTGATTCAACAGCATAAGGACCAGCTCTTAAAGCTCTAGAAAAATATAATTAAAATGACAATATGGGGTTAAAATGGAATTCTTCTGCTCCCAAGCAGTCATAGATTGGCAACTGAATATACCACATTTTGTTAAGAGGTCAACAATGAAAAAAGTGACTTCGAAAATTGTGGCAATTGAGTTGTCATAAGTTGACATGCCTACAGTTTCCACAGTCTGCTGGTTTTTGAAAAGTAAATTAAGGCTACGAAGAAGACACAGGATTGAAAAAGTAGAACTGGATTTAATGATTGAAAATATACGGTTTTATTCTTCCCAAACTGTCATTCTGACATACTTTAGCACTATTAGCTTAATTCAAAGAATGGTTTCAAAAGAGAAAAAGTGTTCCTGTTTGTTGTAATTTCAAAGTTATATGGCCATATATTTTAAAAAGAGATGCTATAACTATACACCATTGTCAGAGTCACCTTGAAAACAGTCATTTTCTTATTCTAATACAAATTCTATTTTCCAAAACATTTTTTAAGTTGTTTTTTTTTTTTCCTATTCTGCTCTGGATGTTTTCAACCTTCTCAATGTTTGAAAATTTTATTTCTCAGACTGGAAATTTTGAAAATCATTCAGAGTCAAGGTTGGTAAATAAGGTTGCCCCACCTCAAAACAAAAACAACTCCAATAAAAGAAAATGTTTCTAAAAAGTGTTGCAAATTATTTTCAGATATAGCTTGTAATGTGACATAGAAAGCAATCTCAAAACGTGATGGACATATGGTCTGAAAAATAATAGTATCACCGGGGAAACAATATAGGCTGTTAGGGAAATTCATCTTAAGGAAAGGAAACTAATATTTATTGAATACCTACTTCAGGCCAGGCACTATATAGAAGGTGCTTTACATTAATCTATGATACGCTTAGTAATGAAAGAAGGTCACACAGCAGTGTGAATCCGCAATCTTACTGAGAAGTAAGACTGGGAAATACTTTGAATGAGTATTTGAATGAGAGTTCAAACAATCACTACTATAAACCAATATAACTAATATTTTATGGAGGATTAATTTATTTCTAAAATGGATTGAAAACATTTTTTGGATACATATATATCCTTGACTTCAAAAATAGCACAAAAGTTTACATTATTGAGCATTCATCACACACCCACCCACAGAAACAACGCAGGAGAATAGAGATATAGTATCAGGGAGTACTGTGGGGTGGGTGAGACTGGCAGGAGTGGGGCTGGGTAAGGGGTTGTAGAGAACTGAACAGGCTGTGAAGAGGACTGCAGAGGACGAACGGGCTAAAGAATAACAAGTTGGCAAACAATGTTAATTTCAGAATAAAAGGTTAGAAGAACTGTATAAAATGGAAATTAATACTTTTTAGGTAATAACTTTAACTACATTTATGAAATCATTTAAAATATAACAACACAGGAAACCACAAAAACAATACTAAGTGAAGAAATTCTACATAGTAAAACTTTTAAAAGCATACTTAATGCCTGAACTTATTACATAATTAGAAGAATTTTTAAAAAAATAAAAATACTTCTTTAATACAGATTAACTGCAACAGGTAATGTAGGCATTTCAAATCCTATTATCTAACCAAGACTCCTGGTTAAGTCAGGAAAAGCAAACTGCTTTCCTGGTTTTATGATGGGTTGCCCTATTTAGCTATGTAACACCAAATTATAAAGGAAAAACTTCATTCTTATCAGATGGTAATAACATTTATATGCCAATTACCCTGTTCAATAAAGCATAATTAAATACTCTTTTGGGGTCAAAGTTCCTAAATTATTAGCAATTTTATAAGAAAAATATATTGTGGGAACTATTAAGAATAACAGTCTAAGGCTGGGTGTGGTGGCTCATGCCTGTAATCCCAGTACTTTCAGAAGCCAAGACAGGACAATTGTTTGAGCCCAGGAGTTTGAAACCAGTCTGAGCAACCAAGTGAGAACCCAACTCTACAAAAAAAAAAGAAGAAAAATCAGCTGGGTGTGCTGGCATGCACCTGTGGTCCCAGCTACTCAGGAGGCTGAGGCAGGAAGATTGCATGAGCCCAGGAGTTCAAGGCTGCGAGAGTAGAGACCAAGCCACTGCATTCCAGCCTGGGTGACAGAGCAAAACTCTGTCAAAAAAAAGAATAGTCTAAAGAACAACACACACATACACAGACACATGTACACACACAAACACATCTCTTTTATATAAGAAAGACAAACTTTCTTTATAACTGAACATATTTTTATTAAGACAGTGTATACTAGTAGCTGAGAAACTAGTTACTTTACATCTTTAGATATTCATGAAAGACTCCTGAGTTCCAGGAAAACAAGTTTTTATGTTTTCTGAGGGTACTAAAAAACAGGTGTTTTAAAAAAATTTTAAAAAGGTTGTAATCACCTCTCAGTGTTGGGAATACAGTTGCCCATCTATAAGCAAAAGTGGCTTCTGATTTAATTTCCCAACCTTACATAGTTTATTACAAAAAGGTAATATACATATTGGTTTGGAGACTATAATAATCCACTTTATAGATGGCAACAGACTAAAGTAAGTTAAGTGACCTGTACACACAAGCCAAGTGAGCAAATAGATAAGGAACTCCAGTAATCATATCTGATGAAAACTACTTTTGTTTAAAATGCATATTTATGAATCTCCCTTTGGATAATATCTCTAAATAGCATACTTTAAAAATATGAGATAAATTAAGATTGCTCAGGGAATAACCTAAAATAGGAGAAATTCTACAGCAACTAAGATATACATCTTAGATATACAATGGTAAGTTGCTCTTCTACAAAATCAACAGGATGGTTTATAAAAAACAAAGGCTTAGATTAGCTTAGAATCCAGCAAAAAATGTAGAATTAAGGCAAAAGCACTAAAAAAGTAAAAGGCAAAAGATGAATAGAGTAGCTTCTGGTTCCTTACAAGCCTCATGACTAGAATAAGTGAGCTCCTAATGGATGACAGCACATATTACACTTTATGACGTCTAGCAGCTTAAGAACTAAGAACAGGCTATTCAATGAGCTTTAAAGTCAGATAACCATTAAGACATAACTTTCTTCCAGACAACTTGACCTCCTATGTGTGTCGGACGAAATAAAAGCTTTAGTCTGCTGGGTGATTAAAAAAAAAAAGAGTACTATAAGTAACATGGGTTTGAATTAATGTCTCTCAGAACATCAAATAGTAATGAGAAAACTGTGGGCTAGACGACTGACTGATCAAAGTGAAATTCTGACACCACTTTGAGAAGAAAAAGCCTTAGCATTTCCTTTTCCTACTTGAGTTGCAACTGGCTGCAAAACAGCATGCACCTAAAGTAATTGGTTTTATCTTGTAGTGTTCAAGAAATGTGCCCACCTGAAGGCTTTGGAAATCATAGCATTATTTTGTCTGGCTATTTGAAATCTCATGGATGAATAATCTCAGAGTGTGCAAATGACAGTTACTGAGGATTATTTGTTCTTTGACTATGTTTCTGGATCTGGTGATGAGTTACTTGAAATATCTGAAGCAATGCCAGAAAAATCAGTCATGGAGTTTGATATACAGTCCAAGACTTCAAATTTCAGTTCATTAAAGTGTCTGTTTTTAAACTAGGCTGCCTATCCCTTCACACCTTCATTTAGAATTATCTCTTATAACTAAATTAGATAAAGTTATTTCTAAGAGATAATAATCTGAAATTTATAACCATAAATAAATCCTTAGAATTCTTTAAAGCTGCCAGATTAACATTATTTCCACTGGATTAAGTAAAAATCAAATCAAATGAAAATGAGTCCTATAAAGCTCCTGGTGAAATATAAAGTACTGCAAAGACAACTACATGATAGCGAAAGATCAAACTCTTTGGGACTAAGTTGAATGAAGTTAAGACAGAGAAGACCAGGGAAGAAGAAGTTTTACACAGCTTTATTATGTATAACCAATGGGTTGGGAAGACGTCATGGGAGTCTACGGAAATAGTTTTAGGCAATCTCTTCTACATATATAAACTCATTTGTATGGTCTTAGAAGTGCAACAAAAACCTGTAAGTCTGTCTACTTATTTTCATGACTTTCAAACTACTGAATAATATAACTGAACTACTCATATGTTCTTCAACCCTGCAATACAAATATTATTTGTGAGCAAAACTAATGAAATTTCTCCAGTTCAAATTTATTACCATACTTCTTTCATGTGAAGTTACTCTGCATGGTTTCACTAGTGGTATATTTAAGATAGTCTTGCAGGGTAAAAGTGGTGTAAATAACTGTTTAAGAATTTTATAGAGTTTTAAAACTGTGTAAAGAGTTTATAATGCCATCACCAAGCTCTCCAAAAATAGACAAAACATCTTTAGGGCAAAAAAACCCCAAAAAACAATGTATGTGTAAACTCTAAATGCTTATACTAATTCGAGATATCATTAAGAGTACTCTTGGAATTCTAAACTCAGAATTTTTTTGTCTTCATTTCTTACAGGATAAGTAGAATGGATGAAGAATACTTTGCAGAACTTGAGCAAGCCATTTCAGTTTCTTCTAAAGCTTAATCTGCTGAATCTTAAAACAAATCTCTTTGTCCACTGGTCCAATGAATAATCTTAGTTTTGTTTTTATTACTCCATTTGTCCATTTCTTGCTGTTGTGAAACAGGGTAAAATACTCACCTGATTGGCTCATCAGATTAAAAAATTCCCTTCTTTTCAATATATATTCAGTATTTATCAGCTGAAAAACCCTTGAAGTCATCCCTCTCTTTATATGAGTAGTGAGTGGAATATCACTGGTGGCAGAATATATTAAAGTTCTGAGAGATACTTACTTGGGCTATCATAATTAGTGAATTTAGTACCAAATGTGTAAAGGCAGGTGAATTTAGCATTAGGTAATCGTGGAGATGTGCACCTGTGAGAAAATGTGATTAGCTGCTGGTTGCTGAGGTGGTGGGGGTGGCAGAGGTGGCTGTGGAGGTCCAGGCACTTGGGGTCTAACTTGTTGTTGAGTCATAGGAGGATTATACACAACCGGACTCCCATCTGGATTTATGAAGGGCTGGCCTGAAAAATTAAAAAAGAAGGAAAAAAAATCAATTTACAACAGAGACTGAAAATAGGTAATTCTACTAAGAATTAACAATACATGTTCGTAATCCCACAATTCCAAAACCCCAAATTTTCTGCACACCAAAAGATTTTCTTAGCTTGGGAAATAGCCTCTAACATGAGGGTTTTAATTGTCTTTATTTTTCTCACTTAAAGTAAATATTCATGTTTTACTGTAATGTTCTACTATGGGGTGCTGACCTAGGCCTTACTGAGCTTATTTTATAATATGTAGTACTTCTGCAAAAACTCTGAATTATGGAAAACATTTTGCCCGAAGGATTCAGTTATAGGATTGTGGTCCTATAGAGCTATACTGCATTTTAGTTTAGTGAAAAATTATTCATTAGTTTTTATTAGGGAGTGGGAAATATTTAGTTTTAGACCACACTGCATACAGTTCACAAACAAAATTAAAACTGGATGAATATTAAAATGATGTCGAAAGCTTCAAATTTCAAATTGTAAACTTGATGGCACTGTCCTTATTTTATAACTTCTAATTTGTTAAAAGCTGTAAATAATTTCTTTTTAATTATAATTTTCTAAAATAATTAAAAACTCCAGTGAGTTTATTCATTGGTAAGAGATAAATTGAGAGAGAATTTTAGTATTTATTTTGAGGTTTTGTTCTTAATGCTTATTAAATATTGAAGTGGAAAACAGATATTTTAAGTCACAAAGAAAAATAGATATTACTCTCTATATACATATATCTGATCTAAACAACTTTCTTTTATTATTACAAGTAACATTTTTGCTGGGCATAGTGGTTCACGCCTGTAATCCCAGTGTTTTGGGAGGCCGAGGTGGGAGAACTGCTTGAGGCCAGGAGTTCAAACCAGGCTGGACAACATAGCAAGACCTCATCTCTACAAAAATTAGCTGAGCGTGGTGGTGCAAGGAGGTAGTCCTTGCAATGAAAAAGACTGAGGAGAGAGCAACACTTGAGAACAGGAATTTTAGGTTGCAGTGAAATACAATCTTACCACTGCATTCTAGCCAGGACAAGACAGTGAGACCCTGTCTCTTAAAAAAAAAAAAAAAAAAAAAAAGCTGTGCTCGGTGGCTCAGCCTGTACTCCCACGCCTTTGGGAGGCTGAGGTGAGTGGATTGCCTGAGCCCGTGGGTTCGAGACCCGCCTGGGCAGCGAGAACTCATCTCTACAATAAATCAAAAAACCAGCCGGGCGTGGTAGCGCATGCCTATAATTCCGGCTACTCGGAAGGCTGAGGCGGAAGGATCACCGGAGCCCAGCAGGTCGAGGCTGTGGTGGCCGGGAGCGGCCACTGCACTCCAGTCTGGGCGACTGACTGAGACTCCAACTCAAAAAAATAAAAATAAAAATAAATAAAAAATAAATAAAAATAAAAATAAAATAAAATGTGAACCACCACATCCAGCCTTCAAAAAAAAAAATTTAAAAGAAAAAAAATCTCCTATAATCTTATTACAATTAACATTTTACAAATGTTACAAATAACTTCTTTCAGATATTTGTTTCAATGAAGCTATGTATAAATAACTTCAGATTCATATTTTTCTTTACTAATACTGGATTATTAAAAGAGGGGAAAAAAGGACTACGTGAAATAAAATATTCACTGACTATGATACTTATTTAGAGTGAGAAAAAATATAGAGAAACAGAAAAATTCGACTGAATAATAATTCTTAAACTGCCTTATAAACACCCTTTCTTTTATGGTAAACCTCTCTCCATTTGTTTGTTTTTGAGGAAACTTATGACACATAATAAAGTAATATTGGGGAGAGAAGGCTACACTAGAATATAGATATAAAGCAGAAAAAGTCCTCTACTCTAAAGTAAAATTATCTTCAACAATTAGCATTCCGATAATGTATGTGATGATTATAGGTAACAAAAGATAAGACATGCTGAGTATTTATTGATTGTGTTGTAACATTGTTCTCAAAAAGCAAAAAGATCACTTTTGGATTCACTTAAAATTGCAAATACAATTCAATTTCAGATTGGTCACTCTAATCTTTCATGTTACCAAAACCATATTAACCAATGTGTTTTGAATGAAAAATAATAGAAAACAGTAAAATAGCGAATCATCATATCCTGCTCCAGAAAAATGGAAAGTTAAATAACACAATACACCTGAAACATTAAGAAGATAATTATTAAGCAAAAACAATTAATTTCTGAAATATTAGTTATTTATACGAATTCAGTTCTGACAGTAAAAACAAATGCTTGAGTACTTTATCTTAAAAAAGAGATGTGACTAAAACTTAAAAGTAATAAATTTCAAGTCATGGTTTTCTCTTCTACAAACAAAAGCAAATGTCCAGGGACACTTACAGACCTAATACTCCCTCCTGTATCTGCCTCCCCAACTACTGCCATTATGACCACATCAGTTAAGATCATGAGTTTTAATTAAAGTTATCAAAAGACCAAAGATCATTTTCATTACCTTGCCAAATGACTAAGCTATGTTATTTTGAATAGTGACTAAGATTTCTTGTGATCTTTTAAAAGATCACATCTTTTCCACATAAATCATTTTGACAATCTATATAGTAAAATGTATTATAATTGCAGTTTCTTCACCTCTCTGAGGCTCAGTTTCCTTATCTGTAAATGAGGACTTTACCTACTTAGCAGGGCTGTTATAACGATTATAAATATAGTATTCTAGCCAGGCTCGGAGGCTCGACCTCTAATCCCACACCTTGGGAGGCTGAGGTGAGTGGATTGCCTGAGCCTGCAGGTTTGCGACCAGCCTGGGCAACTTGGTGAGACCTTATCTCTACAATAAATCAAAAAATTAACCAGGTGTGGTAGCACATGCCTGTAGTTCCAGCTACTTGGAAGGCTGAGGCGAAGGATCGCCAGAGCCCAGCAGGTCGAGGCTGCTGTAGCCGGGAGCAGCCATTGCACTCCAGTCTGGGCGACAGAGTGAGACTCCAACTCAAAAAAAAACAAAAAAAACAAAACAAAACAACAACAACAACAACAACAACAAAAATATATATATATAGTATTCTAAGTAACAAGTGGTTAAAGCACCTAATAAATTAGGCATGGTACAAGTAAATGCTTAAAAAATGTAAATTATTATTAGCTAACTGCAGAAAAGAAGTGTTGTCAATAGCAATTCATAATTACCCATTTTCTTTTACTACTTATAAGATGTCCTTAGCTTTTCCTCATCAGGTTATCTTATTTCTAGAAAATAAATAGGTTTTTAATTACAGCTAAGCCATTACTTAGCCTAGAAAAAGATACCATACACGTCACAAGGGGAAAAATGTTTTCCATTATGTCTTTTAACATTTCCTAGCATACGTGTAGTTATTAAAGTTCTTGGGAAAATGTTTATTATTCATGAATAATAGAAAGTTGTCTACACATATACAAAAAATACATTTAATTAGTATCCTTTAATTTTCAGATAATTCCTGAGACACCTTTTTCTGGATACCAACCTGTTTGTGGGTTGATCAGAATACTGCCAGGTGGTATGCCTGCCGCTTCCAAGGGAAGCAAAAAGAAGCTAGCACTAGGAGATGCGACTTGCCCATTTAGGCCACCATCAAAGGAAAGAGAACTATGAGTGCTGACAGTTGGATAGACGACAGGTGCGCCATGAGAAGACTGGCTGAGAGTTGTACCTGGAAGAGGCTGCTGGATGTGAGAAAGAGAGCCTGTAGATGACCCTACACTACCAGAAGACTCAGAACCTAGAAGAGGAGTAATGAAAAATATGGATTTTTTAAACCTCATATAAAAACACAGGCTTTAAAAACGTAACAGTAAAATTCACATTGCAATAACATGCAGTTACCACATAAAAGCATTGGCTATTTTTGATTTACTACCCAATTTTGCTAACCCTCCCCATCATGAAAAAATGTAATACAGCAAACTGTTTACATAAGTTGTCAGAGAAGTCATAGCTAAAGCATGCAACTTAAGTAAGTTTATAATGACACCAGCCACAGACAGCCACAAAAAGCACATTACCCACATTCCCCAAAGAACAAAGTTATATACATTTATTTTACCTTTTAGATTAACACCTAGAAATACACAGATTACAACTTTCCCCCAGGAAAAAGAACTTAGCATAGCAAAATGCCCCAAACCTCTTATAGAACACAAGGAAGATTAAGAATAGTGTAGGAAATAATAGAAATGGTAAATTCTATATTAAGAGAAACAATTGTCAGGTTTCATTGCAGAATTTCATTTCTCAGTTTACAATCATAGCATCTTCCTGTAATGTAAAGTCAAATTTCAATTTTTGTATCTCATCAAGGGACAGAGATACCATGACAAATATTCCAAGTACTTATATTGGCATCACCTTAAAATTTATTTCTCACTGAACTTAATAAACTAATTTAATAATTGATTTTTAATTGCTTTCATGCCTGAAATGTGTTTCATTTTCTAGTACATAGGGACTGAAAATGTCACTTACTGCCAGTATAACAGGTAAAAAAGGTGGCCAATGAGACAATGTAAGAAAGAAAAAGATTTGGATAGTGTATATAGTTAATTAGGCTTTGAATAAGAGAGTTGACTCTGGACTGGAGAATTAACCTTTAATGAATGAAATAAACAACACTAATATACTATACTATACATTGTTTTCTGAAGGGCAGCTTCTATCTTAAGTTGTGCCAAAGTAGCTCTTGACAATAACTGTATCAATGTACCCTACGAATTTTTTTAAAATAATTTTTTCCCCTTAAAGAAAGGGCTGGGTAATATTTCTTTCATCTTCAAAGATAATACAGATTATCAACAGTACATGGGCTGGGCTTGGTGGCTCAGCCTGTAGTTACAGCATTTTGGGAGGCCAAGGCAAATGGATTGCTTGAGTCCGCGGGTTCAAGACCAGCAATTTGGCAAGAACTCATCTCTACAATAAATTAAAAAAAATTAACTGGGCGTGGTAGCACGCGTCTGTAGTTCCGGCTACTTGGATGGCTGAGGCAGAAGGATCGCCGGCGCAGCAGGTCGACTCTGGGGTGGCCGTGAGAGTGCTACTGCACTCTAGCCTGGGCAACAGAGTGACACCAAAACAAACAAAACAAATCAAAACAGTACATGTCCTTAAAATGTTTTAATTTGGCAGTGTGTCTAAACGGCTTTCTTATGATACAGGAGTCATTTTTTCTTTTGTGATGACCAGTTGGTCTTTTTTTTTCAAATGATGTATATTTTTTACATATGAAGATTTCTTATAGTCAAAAAATTTATCTGTCTTTAGCACTATCCTAACATAGACACAAAGACCTTTTCAACATGACCACATTGTATTTTACAAAGGTGGCAAATAAAATTCACAAACCATAAAAATTTAAAGCATTGATTATAGCCAGGTATTGGAGAAATACTGTTACTTTCAAATAAACCCTTCAATGCTTATATACACAACAACATGTGTCTAGGCTAACCCAAATAGGTTAGGGAGAAACAGCCATTTCTGACTTTCATGCTTATTTTGGGATAAAAATAAAGACTACAAGGTCCTTAAAAAAAAGGCTTTTAAAAACATTAAAGCCAATTAGTGAAAATGAAAAAAAATCAGAAAATGATATGAGACAATGTATTCTAAAAGAAAGCAGCTAGGAGAATGGGGAAAGCACTGAATTTTCCAGTCATTTCTAATAGTTGCATTTTTTCATTTAAGTTCCTCAACAATTACTGAGAAATTTTACTTTTTTATGAACGACAAATGAAGAACTTAATCAAAAAAATGTATATGCATTAATATTGGTAATAATAGCTGACAATGCAATTAGTGTTAAATAATTCTAGGTGAGAAACCATGCCTTCCAAATATACATAAACAGTAAGGAAATTCCAATCACCTATGGGCATTCAAGCAACAGGTGACATTTCACTGAACCTAACTGATTTAAGTTTATGTCACAATAGAGAAGGCTTTTTATTTTATTGATGCTTGAAAATCTATCTCTAGGATAGAGAGTGAACCTAACGTAAATAAATATATTACCCTTTAAGTGCTTTGGAGGTGGTTGAGGCACTGCTGGTAGTGATTTTATATTTCAGGAGAATTAAAAGCCATATGGTAAATAAAGAGCTAAGACAACATAATGAAAACTAACACCTTGACTACACAGTTCTAGGTAGATATTTATACCTGTTTTTGAAAGCCTGCCTATGCTTTTGCTGCTTCCAGAACTATCACCTCTTGTCAGGACTGAGATTCCACTGAAGCTGCTGGCTTTGGTTACGGCAGGTTTCAGGTTTCGGAAAGAGCTATCTGAATCTGTGCTGCTCCATGGTCGTGGTTCTGAGTACTTCAACTCATTCTCAGTGCTGCTTTGATGGCTATTTGTAGATCTCCCTGAAGCATCTTTATTAACTCTGTAATTCAGAAATAAAACTTTGAAAAGCTAATGGGGGAGGGGGGGAAGAGTAAAGAAAAAAAATGCTTTAATTTTTTAGTACTATATTGAAAACATGCTTTCAATACCTAAATATCTGGCGCCTCTGCTGGGTACTACTAGGATCCTCGTCTTGGAGTCTGTTGGCATTTTAATAAGACATTTTAATTTTTATTAGCATAGGTCAGACAGTTACCAAAACAGATGTTAAAAATTCCCTCACCTTTTGTCAATAATATAATTCTCTTGGGAACACAGGGACTAGAAAGAAAGAATAGATACAAAAAGTTGAGCTTTTGTCAAATACAAAATGCCATCTGTAAACCAATGGTGACAACAAAAATCATGTGTAATAATATTTTGAAAGTCCAAAATGGTGATAAGGGCACACAAACAGATAATAATGGAATTTTTTTTGGCTTAGAGACGCTATGCTTGCTTTCAACGTATACATACCTTGAAGCCATTTGTTTTGCAGTTCAAATTAATCTGAAATTCAAATATTCTCTTCAAAACAAGTGAACCCATTTTTGTTATCATATAGTCAAGTTAAGTTATATACTGAATATATATTTCAGTTCATCCACTTAGCAAATATTTGATGCTTTAACTGTGGATATATAGTAGTGAACAAGTAGCTATGCCTTAATGGAGCCTACAGTCAAATTTCTAGCACTGCTAACCTAGGTCAGGCAATCTTAACTTTTGTTTGTATTATTTCATCAATCTTCTAACTAGTTTTCCTGCTACCATTTTTTTGTCCTTTCCATTTATTTTATACAATGGAAGCAAAAGTGATCTCTCTAAAATGTCAACTTGATCATACTTCTCTCTTGAATAGCTGGCTCCCCGATGTCTTTACACAGGAGTCAGCAAACTACATCCAGTCACCTGTTTCTACAAATAAAGTTTTACTGAAATACAGCCATGACCATTCATTCATTTATGTATTGCCTATGGTGCTTTCACACTAAGGAGTCAGACCTGAGTAGTTGCAATGAAGACTACAAGGTTCAAAAAGCTTAAAATAGTTATTACTGGCCCTTTACAGAAAAAGTCTGCTGACTGAAAAAAAAAAAAAAAATTGAAAGGTCCAACCAACTTAACAAAGCTTCAGGACCAAGTTATCTGGTTACTGATTATTTTTCCAATTGAAACTTTCCTCAATTCCTTTAACCACCCAGGCTGTAATCCAGCTAGTCTGAGTCTTTCAATTCCTCACATATGTCAAGTTCTCTCTTACCCAGAGGGCTCTGCAAATACAGACCTTCTGCTTGGAATTCTGCACTCCTATAGGTGTCCTCTTGGAAGCTAACTCTCCCATACCCTTTCCAATTATAGTTTGTGGTGTTTCTCTGCTAAGTCTCCTATTATACCTTCATACCTCTTTACAAACCACATATTGTATTTCCATTACTTGACTACTTATCAAGGGCAAAGACCTCATTTGTCTTATAAACCAGAGAGAGAAATACATCTAGTGTAGGCTCAAGAGTTCAGCAGACCTGGGTTGATATCCCAACTCTGCCATTTTCTAACTGTGTGATCTCTGGCTATTTTTTACTTAGGCTCCTGGAATCTCAGTTTCCTTATCTATACAATAAAACAACGATAGTATCTGCCATACAGGGTTGTTCTAAGGATAAGTTGTTGTAACTGTCTATGGTTATGTTTTCCATTGCCCAGGATAGCACCTACTATAGATGCTCAATACAACTTGTTGAATGAATGTTAGAAATTCTAAACTTGGCTGGGCTCAGTGGCTCAGTCTGTAATCCCAGCACTTTGGGAGGCCAAGGAAAGTGGATTGCTTGAGCCTGTGGGTTCGAGACCAGCCTGGGCAACTTGATGAGACCTCATTTCTACAAGAAATAAAAAATTAGTCGGGCATGGTAGCGCACGCCTGTAGTTCCGGCTACCTGGAAGGCTGAGGTGGAAGGATTGCCTGAGTTCAACAGGTCAATGTGGGGGTGGCTGTGAGCATGTGTGCCACTGCACTCTAGTCTGGGCGACAGAGTGAGACTCTAACTCAAAAAAAAAAAACAACCAAATTCTAAACTTATGATCTACATTTTAATGTTATTTAATCTTTTTTTTCAAAACAGGAAACTATCTGTGGTAGTGTTAACACATTATTACATACACTCATATATCCTTGAATAGTAAGTACCTAGTAATGCAAAGAACGGTGCTTAAAATGAATGCTGGTCAAACCAAATTGATTCTCATTTGGCACATAGGCATAAAATAATTAGCCATTTAGAAGATCTCTCTCATGTAATCTCTTACAAAGTAAAAAAAAAAAAATTAATCTAAACAGCTTTATTGTAAAAGAAAAAAATAGGTTATTTATCAAGGAAAGCCTAGTAACAACAGGATTTAGAGTACATGATTTTACAGACAGTACCAATGTTCAAAAAAATCCCAAGTCAATCAGAAGTATGGAAAAAAATACACAAACTATATACTTTAATATTCTTTCCATGACTCATGTAGTTCATCTGCTTCCAACTTTTCTAAAATTTGTTGCAATGTAGTATTATCAATGCAAAGTTATTTTCCAAAAAATGGCCTTATATGCAACAAATGACTAAAAAGAAATGAGATCAATAAATTACAGGGGGACAGAGACCCTACTCAGTACATACATCTTGGGAAAATATTCGATCTCTAGCTCTCTGGTACTCTTCTTCTCTTTCTTCTATAGACTTGCTTCTTCTGTCATCTTTTAAACGTATTCTCATCTAAAGAAGAGAATAAAATTCTTAGAAAAATGAACTACTGGCATAATAAGTCTTGTACATATAAAAACGCGGCAATTGTTCTAGATTACCTGGTTATCATCTTTGTCAAAGCTAGAGTTATCTCTCTTGAGGATATATCGTTTCTGAAAGTCTTCACCTTTATCATCCTTAATATGTTCATTAAATTTCTGATCAGGTCTAAAAATAAAACAAAACAAAGCAACAAATATAAATAATATACACTACAAAAAAATTAACTATAACATTTCATGAAAAGTAATAAAAGTTACCACTTATTAGTGAAATTCATAGAGGTGTATATTCCCTCATTTAGTCCTTATAATAATTATGTGAGAAAATACTATCTCACGCTATGGTTGAGAGGCTGTATCAAATACATTGTGAGATCTGGAGTCAGATTGGTCAGGTTCAAACAGAGTTTTACCACTTTAGCTGTTTTATGACTTGTACAAGTTACTTAACCTTTCTATTTCCCAGTTTCCTCACTTGTAAAATGAAAAGCATATAGTGTACCTACTTGATAGACTTGTTCTAAAGAGAAAATGAATACATGAATACAACATAAAACTGTAAACACTCAGAAATTTGTTGTTATTAGAAACATTACTGAGAAAACTGAGGTACAAATGCCTTAAGCAAGTGTGCAAGGTCAAAGGGCAAGCACATAATTGAGCCATAGTTGGAGCCCAGGTCAGTCAGTCCCAAAGCCTGTATTTCCTCTTTGTATTGCCTCCTTTAAATCTACAAAAAAATTCTGGGACAAAAAAGAATGTACAGCACTGCATCTTATATCACTAATCAAGTAATCAAAGATTTTGCCATTGAATTAGTTAAAAATTTAGAGATTCCTTCAAAATACATCCAAGAATTCTTAATTACAACAGGGACAACCTTGCTTTACATTAACTGAGGCAGGTTAGAAAAGAGAAGTTCTTTTTTAGAGGTTAAACTTGCAACCTAAAGTAATGATTACAAAATCTTAGCAATTTTTTAAAATAGTGGATTAGTCTATCTTCTATAGAAATGATGCAAGTTTCACTGAAATCTAGAAGACAGACATAAGATTATGGTCCTTAGAAAATTACAATTACATAAAATTTCATCTTTGAAAATATATTTCCAGCTTTAACAAATTAATTCATTCAACATTCTTATAACTTAGTATCATTCTATTATAAAATATGAATTACTCTTTTGAAATATGTAGCATATAAAATGTATTTAATTGCTATAAGGAAAATCTAATTAAACCTAATTTTTTTTAACATATGGTTCAAATATCTGTTATATGGTCACATGATATATATGAATAACCTAAGTAAATCTTGAAAACAAACCTAAGTAATAACGTTTTCAGCAAACTTCATTACATAGATTTAAGTAACTTTTGAATATTTTTTACCAAGTGAATTTTTAATAGATTACTGTAAAAGCCTACTGTCAAATTAAGCAAAAGGAGATTTAAAAATGGGAACTATCTAAGTAAGTTAAAGAAATCTCTATTGTAAAACAGACTTAGATGAGTGAAACAGAGAGAAGGTATCCACTTAAAGATAGAAGAAAAATAAGAGTAAAAACATCTTTGTGACCAAAATAGTAAGAAAAAGTCTACTTTCTTCAAGGGTTTTAAAGATTTTCAATTTAGTTCTGATGCCTGCAGTACGTTGTTTTTGTCACATGACCGCCCCATTTACTTTCATTTACATTTACCATTATGTATTTTTGTATCTATTCAGTCATATTTTCTTATTCAAGGAGTTTGTACTTGGGTGGGAGACTGCTATTACAAAGTGAACTGTAAGGTTTAACCAAGCGCCTGGCAACTTTTCTAAGAGCAGCTGGATTCCCACACCGAATAGCATTGGCAGGCATTTCAGCTAACCTTAAGACTGTCTTACCTCTTTCTTTTATAGATGCCTGAATTTACTGCCCTGTCATCGCCAACTTCCCGCTCCATTGAGACACCCCAGTGGACACCGGGTTGTTGACATCCACAACACCACTGGTTCAAGGCTGGAGCGGGTAATCTCCCTATGAGGAAAAGGTAAGTTTGTTTTTATTCAATGTGGAGCAGATCTCTAAGGTTTTCTGATTTACAATCTTCATATCTCAGAAGATATAAAATAAGAATACAGTGTAACTTCAATGATATGAAATGTCTAGTTATAATCAGGTTATTGATCCATACTTCTTTTAAGTTCATCATAAACATCACTGTTAGCCTACCTTTTGATTATCTTGATAAAGAGAGCCGTAAAGCTTTCGTAATTCATAGACTTCAAATAAGTGAGGTTACACTGTATTGAAAACCTTAGAGAGTCACCAGTCGAAATGTTAGTCAAAATGCCTGCTAATGTACATGTACTTGGTATCCAGCAGCTCTGAGTAATGTTGAAAGGTATTGGTTAAATGAATTACAGTTCTATTCACTTTTAATTTAGCTAACATCTTAATGGTTACTATCCTACTTTAGTCATGATATAACTAATTGGAAAAAGATTATAATATTTTAAAAAGACCAGGGAACATGAAAATTTAAATTTTAATAAAAACTAAATTAGACTCACATTTTCAGGTAACAATCTAAAGGAGGATAGAATTCTAAGACATCTACTTTAATTAATTTACTTTTAGTTATAGGAACAATCATTTAGAAATACTAACTATATCTCCTTAGTTGACAAAAGACTGTTTGAAATGGAAGGAAACAATTGGGCATGATGGCTCACACCTGTAATACAAGCACTTTGGGAGGTAGATATAAGGGGAATGTCTGCGTACAGGGGATTGAGACCAGCCTGGGCAACTTGGCGAGACCTCATCTCTACAATAAATTATCTCTACAATAAATTAGCTGGGCGTGGTGGTGCGTACCTGTAGTTCCAGCTACTTGAAAGGCTGAGGCAGAAGAATCACCTGAGCCCAGCAGGTCAAAGCTGCAGTAGCCATGAGTGTGCCACTGCACTCCAGCATGGGTGACAGAGTGAGACTCCAACCCCTTCCCCAGCCAAAAAAAGGGAAATGGAAGAAAACTAACTTTGTTTCAACAAACAATGTGGCAGCTATTAGGGTAAAAGGCCATTATAATAGAGGGGACATAGATGAATTAAATATAATCATGCAAATTGAATGGTTCATACACCACAAAATGAGAGAAATCTGGCTTCAAGAAAAGCAGAAAAATAATGGACCGAAAAGCATTACTTATGCATCCGAAGTTGACGGCTGCTCATTACCACAGACCTGTTGCAATCACATATGAAACTGACACAGAAAATCCTTTTGATAGGCAGATCATCACCAAAATAAAAATTTTAGCTGACCTCAACTAGCTGCATTAGGCTTAGCTTTACAAATAGGTAGAAGAGGTGTTGTGAGCATTTTATAACTTGGGTGCCTTTGCATTGGGCCTTCTGTTCCCAAATAACAGCACTGACAACCTACTTCACCAATGCTATAAAACAACCACTTTTAGCCGGGCTTGGTGGCTCCACCTGTAATCCCACGCTTTGGGAGGCTGAGGTGAGTGGATTGCCTGAGCCCGCGGGTTCGAGACCTGCCTGGGTAACTTGGCGAGACCTCATCTCTACAATAAATCAAAAACTAGCCGGGTGTGGTTACGCGCGCCTGTAGTTCCAGCTATTTGGAAGGCCGAGGCGGAAAGATCGCCAGAGCCCAGCAGGTCAAGGCTGCGGTGGCCGGGAGCGGCCACTGCACTCCAGTCTGGGCGACAGTGAGACTCCAACTCAAAAAAAAAACAACAACCACTTTTTAAAGCAAAAAGCTCTTCTCAACTCTACTTTTTTCCCTCAGCAAATTATACATAGCCCATGAAAGGGGCACAGCATTGTGGATGATACCGTATTAACCAATAGTCCTATCTTCTAGAGATTTGTGGGAGAAAAGGATTAAAAACAGAGGCTTTAGGAAAGGACAGAAAACTGACAGAAGATTATTTAAATGTGAGGATATCAAAGACAAATTCTTCTCTCTCTTTTTTTAAATTACAAATCTGCCTGAGGCTGGTCATTGTTATCTAAATTATACTAACTTTTAAAAACCCATAAGAGGGTGGTTGCCAAATATCACTGATATTAGGCCTCTGAGCTTTTGTTTTTATCAGGTACTTCAGTCCTCATTCACCTGTCTTATTTGAGTCCAAGCTGGTGCATTTTGTTACTGGTGAACTAAATATATTTGGTAGAAGGCTATCATGAAACTTAACTGGACTGCTAAAATATGTAGAAAACCTCAGATGAAAGGAGATATAGAAAGAGAAAGTATTATCAGTTAGATATGAGCATGTAGCTACATCTCTTGACACTTACATTCTAGTATTGCTAGTTTTGTTTACTATGACCGACTTCCCACTCTGGTCAACATTGTGGTCTAATCCAAAGTAAGCGGCTACTCTGTGTAATAGCATCCTATGGTAAGATGTCATGGGGGGGAATTTTTTACGTGGCGACCTAAAAGTAGAAGAAAAATTCATTTAGTAAGTCAAGGAGAATTGTAATGACAATTTGTTTTCTTGTTAAATGTCAGGACTTACTCATTATTACCAATGAAATCTAAAATTTCTTGTTCCAATTTTAGCAGCATCATTCTGTCCCTGAAACAAAGTATGAAGACACTTACATGTAAAACTTAACAATGAGGCAATCACAAACGTCAATCAGTTATGAATTTATACAGCTAATGTTCCCTCCTAAGAACTAAACATTCAGGAGTCTCACCAGTTTGATGCTAGAATATATATCTGCTTTTTGAAAAAGTGATGTTTTAAAAGAATACAAGATTTTTTTTTCCAGTTTAACATTTTATTATGGAGATTTTCACACATACACTAATGAGAGGATAGTATAATGAACTTTGACACATCCATCCCACCTGACTTTAACAATTATTAACATGTGGCCATTCTTAAATGCAATATATATTTGTTGAGCCCTTCTATATATGAATAGTCTAAATATAATGATAATTGTGATAAATACTATTTTTGATTTGCTAAGTATTAGTCTACTAGAGTTTATTCTGTAAATAAATGGATAATAAAAGCACAACAGTTTTTACTTCCTCATTCAATAAAGCAAAGAGGTAGCAGGAAAGCAGACATGCTAGTTAGGCTCATGACTTTATTATCATGCTGAACTCCATACAAACAGTACTCTAAAGAACATGCAATGGCTGGTAATAACGGGAATTACTCCTATGGGATTCCAATGCTAGAATGTAGATGGGACTACAGCACAGAGTAAATAAATCCTTATTAGTAAAAAATTCTTCATCTTCCTCCAAAAATTTAAGAAAAAAGAATATTAAAAGACCTTCTGAATGAAATAATTTTATTAATTCTATGCAATATATATTTGTTGAGCCCTTCTATATATGAATGGTCTAAATAACTATATAATGATAATTGTGATAAATACTATTAAAGAAAAGCACAAAAGAACCAATTCTAAGAAAGAATATAAAAGAGTGTTTAAGACAGACAGACCCTCTTTCATCTAAGCTTTTGGGGTCAATTTATCTTGAGATAATATAATTTTCAGTAACTATTAGGATGTATCTTATATAGTCTTATTGTAAAAAGATAAAGAAAGAAGAGAGTTGAGGCAACTTGCTGGAGTTCACAAAACAGAGCACTTAAGTTGGTTTTCTGTGTTTGAGCTAAACAGCAAGCATAAGATATTTCAAATGTGCTTCAGTGAATGTACTGTCACTGAAAATAAATTCCCATTGTTTCCATAAAAGAAAATAAAATCGAACAATATTACTAGCCATTGATAAAAATTCAGGCCTTTCCCGCCCCATAACATGTAGACTTATGGACTGTAGAGGACTTTCTATTATTATCTGGGCCACTTAATATTTAAACTAAGATCCCCTGCTTTTAGCTGAGTATGTTAGAAAAATAAGAGTAATAACTTTCCTAAAGTCTTAAGATTTATACCTACTGTCTTTTATTCACTGTGGTTTAGTATAGGTTTCCAAATTTTCAAATCTGTAATTGAGGCTAGATATTTTAGTAATAATCATAAGTTAAAAGTTAATAATTATCTATAGGGGCACTACATATAGGACTTGAACAAACAGGTTCACAAATTACTTTCCTCAAGGTACACGGATGTTTAGCATGTGAGCCAAAACCATCTAAAAGTAGGTATACTTACTGAATTTGCGATTGTATAACCTTTAAATGAACCAATATATGCTGTCTGTTACTAAAGAAATAGTAAAATCAAGAACTATTAATAAACTACTACTTAAAGCTAAAATGAACGGACAAAAATACTCAAGTTAATAGTGTTTTAGTCATATCAGAAGTAATTTTAGACAATGTACAGTTGGTATACCAGTTGCAAATTAAAAAAGCAGAAATCAGTAATGTTTTTAATCTGATAACCCCTCTATTCAATGTTTCATATGCCCTTGGTCAAATCTCTGCAACAGATAAGCAATAAAATAACTTAAACATTACCTTCAATAAAAGTGAGTTTAAGAAGTTATTTCAAACACAGAACAATAACATGATGGTCCTTAGAGCAAAACAAATTTACTTTCAAAGTATCCACTCTCACAGGAACAAGAGACACTGGGGACTCCCAAGGAAGGGAGGAGGGAGGGGGATGAGGGCTGGAAAACTATCCATTAGATATCAAGCCTGCCACGTGGGTGACAGGCTCAAAAGAAGCCCAAACCTCACCATCATACAATATGCCTACGTAACAAATCCACACATGCATTCCTTGAATCTAAAAAGAATATTAAAAATAAAAATATCCAATCTCAGGATTAATCCGTAGGGTTGCTTCCCTTTATTAGTTATATAATATAGTTATCTTTATTAATCATATTTCTTTCTACAGATAAAATTTATACAAGATGGCTAAAAAAAACCCCCAGAAAAACAGGTGTAAAATTATGTCAGTGAGTGTAATCTCTATCAAGGACATCTTCAGGTCCCTAGGTTTGAATTCAGTAATGACTGCAGTTAATAGTGTAGTCTCTGAAAATATTTATTGCAAACAGAATTTTCAGATAACTTATTATTTAACATCTGAAATTTAGTTTATTTATTGAGCTACAAAGGATATAAAAAAGATTTAATGATCTGAAGAAAGATTTTGAAATAAAAATGATCCAGAAAGGAAAGGTAGACTAAATTTTAGTATCACTAAAAATAAATCTGCCTAACATCTAGTAGAATTTTCCAGGCAATAGTCAATTCTGAAAGCTTTAGTGAAAATTTGCCACACTTCTTACTCTTTGTGTGCCATGTATGACTGGCAGTGAGCTGTGTGCTTCACTGACAAAGAATACTGAGCTATTTGTTAAGCAAGCCTTATTTTTTCACAAAATTTAACATTAGCTTCAGCTTCCTAAGCCTATATTGACATTAATAATAACATATATTAGCTATTATGTGAATTATTTACCTGTATATTTAATCAAATTAAAATTCATACACAGAAGGAATAAAGTACTGACACATGCTATAATATGAATGGATCTTAAAAACATGCTAGGTGAATAAAAGCCAATCATGAAAGATCATATATTACATAATTTCATTCATGTGATGTCCAGAACAGAGAAATCTATAGAAACAGAAAGTAGATTAGGGTTGGGGATAATCTATTGCTATTACTGTTACTATTATTAGCATAGGAATAGCTATAAGATACAAGGTTTCTTTTTGGGATGATGAAAAAGTTCTAAAACTGACTGTGGTGACTGCACATATCTGTGAATATACTCAAAACTGTTAAACTGTACATTTAAAAATGCCCATGCAGATAAATAAAAATGCTTCCATATAAAGGAAAAAAAAATTACACAATTGAAAAATAATTTGGAGTACACAAAAATGGATTTATAATCTTTGGCCTTCGATGATATCTCTTCTACGGATTCAGAGAGAAGCAAAATTCTGTCTGTCTAGGATTCTGTCTTGTTTTATTTATACTAGTTACATATTTGCTACCTTCCCACTTGTTCCTCAACCCACTGGGCTTTGGTTTCCAACATCCTATCCCAAATTGTTAAATTGGTCAGCAACTTCCTAATTTCTGAGTCTAATGGATTATTTTTAGTACTTGTTTTGGAAAAACTCCCTGTGTTTTTCCTTTGCTCTCATACCAACACTACAATGACAATAATACAGGGGACTTCTGTGGCCCCCAAATACATAGGGATTTTCCCCCCATGGATAAGCAAGCAATCAGTTCTGTAGCAGACACTAACTGGGATTCCTCCAATTCAACTCTGACACTCAGTCCTCTAGACTGCTTTCCCCATCCCCACCTTCAGATACCAGTTGCAAGTTTGGGTCTCTGGAACTTCTGACAGACTGGCTTGAGTTAAGGTTCCCACAACTCCTGCTTTGGGATGGATTAATTTGCTGGATTGGCTCACAGAACTCGGGGAAACATGTTTGCTGGTTTATTATAAAGGCTATTACCAAGGATATATATAACAAGATGAAGATATACGTAGGGCGAGGTATGGGAAAATGGGCACGGAGCTTCCATGCCATCCCTAGGGCACATTATCCTTCAGGAACCTTCCTGTGTTCAGCTCTGTGGAAGATCATGGAACTCTGTCCTCTTGGGTTTTTAATAGAGGCATCATTATGTAGGCACACTTTGATTAAGCCATTGGGCCATTGGTGATCAACTTGACCTTCAGTCCCTCTCCCCACCCCTTGAGGTTGGAGGGTGGGGCTGAAAGCCCAGTCCTCAAATCATACCTTTGTTTTTCGGTGACCAGGCGCATTCTGAAGTTATCAGTCAACATTAGCACACAAAAATATAATACTTTAGAGAGTTCAAGAATTTTAGAAGCTGTATATCAGGAAATGTGGATGAAGACCAAATACGTATTTGACAATATCACAGTACTTCTATCTTCATCTCCCTCTGTTATTTTATTTTCCATGAAACTGTTCCCCTTTGGTAGAGTTCTAGGATGAGTTATCATGATTCTTTTGGTATCTGTAGCACTCAAATCTTTCCCTTCTCATCTATCTTACAAATTTGTCTTTCCATAAAACTTATCCTTGTCATTTACTTCAACTCTTTGAGCAATCCCATCCATAGCAAACTTCATCTTTATTGAGGTCTCCTGTATCTATGACCCTAGTCTGACTTATTTACTTGGAAACTAGGACTTTTTAACAGCCCACAGACCTATCTCTTGGCTTTCTGTTGGCATCTCAAACTGAAACTTAGAGCATGCTCCATTCCATTCATGAATACAGAGCCTTATTCACTTTTTCAGTTACTGGGACTAGCTGTCAGTTCAGCTAGAAACCAAGTGGTCATTCTGTTCTACTCTTCCATTCCCACTACTTTTCCAAAGATAAATGATGATCAAGTTGTGCCACGGTACTTCTTAAATGTTTTTCAAATATATCCTTTCCTCTCTATTTTTCTCTATGGTCTCCTAACCACTCTCTTTGCTCTTCTCTGCCAAAATAATCTTTCTAAAATGTCAAAGCAGTCTTTTTACCTTATTTAAAATCCTGTAATTAACCCTCAACTTAGCATGCCATACTCAGTATTCCTCAACTAATGTACTACTGGTATTTCAGTAAGACAATTTTTCATTGTTCACTGATGTCTTTCAGGTCTTATTTTTTTTAGCATCCCTGGCTTCCCAGTAGCACCACACTCATTGGGACAATCAAAAGGTCCCTGTACCTTTCTTCACTGCCTCTGGGTGTTAGTACTATGCTAGGTTGAGGACAACTGGATATAATCTGCACTTCATACCTCACCAACATCTTTCCAATCACTTTCTAGAATCACTTGCCATACCTCTCCCTGTGAGAACCAGAGTTTATAATCTCATGTTCCCTTGGATATATAATATCCTATCACAATACTGTGTGCTGGCACTGCTCTTGTCTCTATCTGGTCTGCTCTTCTCATGCGTCTCTATATGGATAGTTCCCTACATTTAAATACTCTGAATTCAACATTCTACTCAGGCACTACCTTTTCAGTGATGCCTTCCCAAATCCTTTCAAACAATGGTTGGGACTCCTTCTTTGACTTCTATAGCATCTTGGATTTATTGTTTTTATAACACTTGTTTTATTTTAATTATTTATCATGTGTCATTTACTAGCACAGAGATAGTGAATACTGCAGGGCCAGAGATTATATCTTATTCATCTTTATATCTATAATCCTTGGGACATGATTAGATGCTCAGTAAATCCCTGTTCAATAGACTAGTGAATTCATCTTTTTGTTGGGACTACTGAGGAATAACCTTGAATGGGGGGGGGAATGCCAAGCCGAGTTGCCTATCTTCTCTTTCACTCCATAGCTGTATTCCTTCAGCTCCTATTACAAGGACAACACTTTTTATTTTGGTGGTTCTCTCTTTGGGGTTGATATTAAACACAAAACAGAAAATCAAGATGGTATTGAATGTAAATAGAGGTATCTTGAAGTAGAGCTGGACATGAGATAAGTCTCTGTGAGACTAAAGAGAGTTGCTCATGCTATATCCTCCATGTGCCCATACCTAGTGATATTATTTCTATTGCAGGGTATATCAAATAACTCACTACCATTCTGGAAAGCTAAAATCTAGAGGAGGTGTACTTCACTTTGGCATCATTCACTCCATGAAAGTGTTGGTAAGATATTTTCTGGATAGTTTTTTTTGTAGGGAAAATGCCTCAAAGTGATTATGATCTGCCAAAAAGTTAAAAACTACCCTAGAAAAATGAAAGATTTCATCAATTCATTAAAGTACTGACTCAAATAAGCACTTTAAAAATCTTTGGGTTGAGGGTTTATAAACTCATCAGGAAGGAAAAAAGCTTTGCATTTAAAAAGTTCAAAACCTCATTATAAACGAATACACTAAGTTCTTATTTGAGTGCATTATAGTGAGATATATATTTTTCTTTTTTTCATGATTAATGGTATCTCTCTAAATCAATTAAGAGTCTAAATATCTTAGTGATTCTATATTTCCCCAAATTCATACAATATGGTGACATGCATAATGCAAAAAGAGATATAAATCTGTGCATAGACCAACAACATCTTGGTGCTAAGAAACTGTTTCTGGTGTACTTCAAATATCTGCAATCTTATTCTAATAGTCTAACTCAATAATGAAAACATATATAACAAAATTATGGTATTCTAGAAGCAATGTAAACCTTATAAATTTAATTTTTACCTGGGATTGTTTTTTAATGTATTTACTAAAAATTCATGTAGATCTATGCCAGTTGAATCAGTGTATTCTTGACTGGAATCTAAAAAACAACAACACAAAAACCCAGCATAAAGTTGTTTGAAAACAAATCCCTTTCCCTTTTACACACGATGTATATCTTAAATAAAATGAGATGCCCCACACTGAAAAATTTGGCAACGCAGAAAAGGTAATTTATAATGAACTTAGATGAACACAATTTTCAATTCCCATATAATGTGCATGACATGAGTTGATATACCTGCATGTCCCTGCACATTCTTTAAAAAAAGATTAATCTCTCAAATGTGCCAGTTTAATTTACTCTAAATTCTTTCAAGATCCTTTTATATACTCACCACACCCTCATGTCCAAAAATGCCTCCTTAGGTGAAAAATTAAAATGATTTACATAAGAAACTACATTTGTAGTGCTTTGACAGCTTCGTTTCAGTCAGAATATAAGTAGAGGCAATAATTTGGAGGTAGACAGAATAATGTACTTAGATTTGTATCTGGTCTATTACTAAAGGATTGCTTTCAAAATACTTTCCAAATATTCATGTCTATTTCTTCCCCTTAAATGTAATATCCTCATGCTGTTTGTAACACTAGTCAACATAATTGGGTTTATAAATTAAACAAGCATTCCTATTGACCTGCAGTGCTAGATCTGGTGGTGAAGACGCTCCAAACTTATTATGCAAAATAAACATTCTCAGTTTTCATGAGCATTCTTATTGAATATTATGGCATCAGTATTTATGTATCATAAGGAATTAAAGAGTAATAATATATTTTTAGTGGACTCAATATATAATTTATAATGAGTAGAGTGTTTCACTATGAGAGATGGACCAGTAAAAGATAAAATGTTTATCTTCCACAGTGACTCTGATATGTGTTACAATTTTTCATCCCTCCAGTCTATTCTGTGTCATTTTAAATACATAAATACTATATATAATTATTCAAGGGGTAAAGAATGGGATTATTGACAGTGAAACTAAAATCTTGTTTAAAAAGCAAAAATAAATTGCAAACCTCTTGATAACATTTTTCTGGGCAACTTATCACTGGCCTTTTCTTTTTCTGCTTCATCTTTTGAGGGCTTCTCCTCTTTTTCAAATGATTGTGTTAACTGGATCTGAATTTTCTCCTGTTGGAAGGCAAAATCAGTTATTCAATGAAAAGATAAAGCAATTCACTTAATATAACACACATTTATACTTTTTCAGTAACAAAAAACTGTGTGGAGAAAAAAAGGAGAAAGATTTTTTATTTTACCTAATTAGATTCTCCAAACTAAAAACAAAACAAAAAAAACCTTAAAAATATTTAACCACTTTGTTAACAAAGTCTTGATGTAAAATGTTAAGATAAATGTTTTGAGTTGAATAAATCAATTGCAACTTATTCTGGAGATTATTCTAGAGAAAATAAATGTTTTCTATTATAGTTTAAGTGCACCTACTTGTAAAACCCCTGGAGGGTCAAAACTGAGGTCCTCTTAACCTATTTTTATAATGAAGATACAAGCAAATCATGATAATTACATGACAATAGGAACAGAAGAATGTCAAGTCAATGATTAACAAAAATTAGGTTTTTGAGTATCCATCATAATCACATATTCCTTCATTATCCTGCCATATAAAAATGTAAATACAAAAATTTCCAAAATCAATGGCACATTACTTTATTTCCTTTTTGAGGTTTATATATTGTTGCTCCTTGTTCAATTAGCACAAAGTTGTTTTAGAAAGATTTCAAATAAGATTTTATTTTTTAAAGATATGTAATGTTTAAGTGTAAAGAAATCATATTCTATAAGGCTGAATGGAGAATTAATTCCACATTTTATTTTAAAAACAATGTCAATACATGCAATTTGAGAGCCCAAAGAGATTACTGGAAATTCATTCATATAGACTGAAAAGGTAAAAATCATGTAGCTTTGTTTACTCAGGCAAAGTTATAAAGAAAACTTTAATAAATTCCAGGCCAGTTTTACTAACTATAAAGGTATAGCCTATTTTTAGGCTAAATTATACTGTTGTTTTCTAGCAATGAGAACCATCTGTCAGACAATTACATAATTTTTCTGGGTGGTACTGGTGGTGGTAAGGGTAATAAGTCGGTATCAAAGGGGATATAAATTTCTCAAATTTGCTGCCAGTAGAATTACAATTAAACTTTTTTCCGTACCTTTTTTTTCAAAGTAATCTTTAACAAAATATTGATCAAATACTTTTTTTTTTTTGGTAGAGACGTGGTCTCACTATGTTGCCTAGGCTGGCTTTGAACTCCTAAGCTCAAGCAATTCTCTTGCCTCAGCCTCCCAAAGTGCTGAGATTACAGGCATGAGTCACCACACCTGGCTCATTTCTGACACTGAGTTGGAGTCTCACTCCGTTGCTCAGGCTGGACAGCTGTCGCAGTGTTGATCTGCTGGGTTCAGGCAATTCTTCTGCCTCAGTCTTCTGAGTAGCTGGAACTACAGGCGCACGCCACCATGCCTGGCTAATTTTTTTTGTTAATTGTAGAGATGAGGTCTTGCCAAGTGCCCAGGCTGTTCTTGAACCTGTGGGCTCAGGCAATCCCCTCACCTCGGCCTCCCAAAGTGCTGGGATTACAGGCTTGAGCTACCGCGCCCGGTCCCAAATAATTTTTTTACTCTAGTACGATTACTACCTGCTACTTTCATCTCTTTTTAATTCTTCTTCCCAACACATCTCAGTTGTGCTTAGAATATAAAGCAAATGCTACACAGTGGCAACTTTCCTAGGATGACAAACACGTGCCTTCTCTGTCTTGCTTACCACACTGGCAACCACTAAGTCATTTTTCTTATTGTGATTCATTTTCCAACCCACTTCCCATATTCTTTTTCTAAGTGTAAAACAGATTTCTAGAAATGAATCTCAGAACTATTTTTCAGAAGTAGAATATTTAAAAGTTTTTCTGACATGTATCTTCTATTCTGGTTACTCAAGTGGAACCCAATGGAATCCAGGTTTGGAAAAAAGATTTCACACTACTTCCTCTTAGATCTTCACTAACAGGCACTTCCAGTGACTAGCAGATTTCATTTCTAATCTCTCCTCCCAAAGTCATACATTTTAAATACAGATAATAAACTACTTTATCAAAACTAACCATATTTTAAAAATCTAGTAGGCTTAATGTACTGAGGCCTTGTCTTCAGTTGACCCTGTTTTCTGTATTGAAAAACAAGACATGTTCTAGACACCAAGTCCTTATACATAAACTCTTCTGACTATAAATAACTGAAATAATAGCGATCTCTCCATTGGAAGCTGAAATTCCTTTACTCTTCATTTTGTCATTGACATCTGTTATGGAGGCCTCTTCCCTCTCATAAGCACTTATCAGAAACAAGTGACATCTCTCTTTTAATTGCCTCTCAACTTTTTGAATGATGAGTTTTAGTCTAGATTAACTCCTTAAAAATCACATCTGAATCAAGCAAATGGTTGAAAAGTGTCTCTACCATCAAGGATTAGATACTAGGAAATTTCATGAGAAATAATTTATTTTCTAATTTCCATTCAGGTGCAATTTAGTTAACTCAAGTCTTGAAAAAAGCCTTTCTATCTTTTATTTAAGGGGGCTTTATTCATAGGCTATTATAAAAAAAAATTATTCTATCCAAGAGAAATTGAGAACAAATGTATTAAGTGAAATAACTCAATTATGACATAGCTCCTAACTCATCTTTTTGCACTGTAAACACAAAAAATTATCTATGATCAACAATACATATATTAATATACAACATATATTCCTGATGCCATTTTTTCTCACATAAATTTTCACTAGCTAAATTTATGTATTACCGCCTTTTACTTAGGACTTTATTCATAGGTTGTTATCCAAAAAGAAAAGAAAAATTACTGTAACCAAAAGAAACTGAGAACAAATGTATTAAGTGAAATAACTCAATTTTGACATAGATCTTAACTCATCTTTTTTAACTGTAAACATGAAATATTATTTATGATCAACAATGCATATATTAATATACAACATATATTCCCAATGTCATTTTTTTCTCATATAAATTTTCACTAGCCAAAATTATTCTCCCCCCAAATTTTTCATATGTAAAATGTACATTTTTCAAATAAGGTAAAAGTCAATCTCTTCTGACTGTTATGCCATGGGGCTAAAATGGTGCAGCATTTTGGTCAACAGAATAAATAAATTAATTTTTAAAACACTACAGTGCCTACTGCTCCACACTGAACAGGTAGGTATATTGTTTATCCTCACCTGCACAAAAGAACTTTTAAAAATTGCTTCAAAAAAACAATTTTAGCTGAATTTTTTTCTGACTGTATCATAACTCTTCAGGCTTATCAACAACCAAGCAAAAGCCAATGGTTAATATTTGAAAACGTTCTCCAAGCAATAGTATATACTAAAATACTTTGACTGTATTTTTGCTTTTTGCTAGAAGGTGTATTGTATTGGTAAAACATATCCATTTTATTAAGAAAACTCATACAGCTATTTCCCATGTAGCTACATTTAAAAAAAATATGGCTTTTGCTATTCAAACAAATGTCCAATGAAACAGATTTTTAAGTACATTTCATTGAAAACAAATCTCTTTCAAAATCTTTTCCTTGCATTTTGGAAACGAAGTACAGTACTTTTAAAAAACAGGGCAGTCTAAATATGTGTCAACTATCTTCAGTTCTAGAATAGGCTTTTGAGGACATCATGTACATCAAGGGAAATTATGGCAGTTTTTGCTTGAATCACCAAATATAAAATTGGTATTCATTAAAGAAAAAGTCATGAATCAGTCATGGCTCCTCAAATAACAACAAAATTGCTTTAATTTCTTGGAAACTGACTATTTGAATATGGTGGCATTTTAAGTTACTAAAACTCTTATCAAGTAGAAAAAGCCATTAAAAGCCAAAGTTACCACACACTGATAAACACTGGTAAATAATTTTAAAAATGTATGCATAAATGTCCAAATGTAACATGAGACAAAGATCAATCCACAGCTGAGATTAACAGAAAAGTAAAGTCATAGCATTAAAGAGAATATAAGAGGAAAACTAAATTGTTTGCTTGAACTTCACTGATACCTATTTTACAAGAATAGTCAGATGAGAAATATTAGGTATTAGACAATTATTGAAAAGCGCAGCAAATATGAACACTGGCATTCAGGTTAAGTAAAATAAACCATTAAGCAGAAGTCTGGGGTAGTCTTTTTATATACAAGCAGTAAGTATTGGACAAATTCCTAAAAACTAAATTTCATCACAAATATATTTACTAGAAGTACTACTTTCATATAACTCTCTTAAAGTCACATTCCCAGTTAATGATATGATCCCTAAGTTTTTCCAGAAAATAAATCATTGCTCTAAGCATTAGACTGAAGCAAACAGTTTTTCCAACTTTTCATCTTTATCCTGGATGGCAAGTATTAGCAAAACAAATTTATTCAGTAAAAATAAAACAAACGTCACACACACACACACACACACACACACACACACACACACACACACATCTTTTATTTTGCTGTAAAACAAAAATATTCTCCAGTTCCACCGTGTCTTCAAATAACAATTTTGGGGGTTTTGTTTTATTTTTTACCTGGTTCTCCTGTGATATCTCTGCTGCAGGGGGTGGTGGAGATTCTTCACACACTGCAAGGCTCCGAACTAGCTTTAACTTTGAGCTTGACTAAAGAGAAGTATTTAAAATTAACACTACATTTCACAAACCTAGGGCATATCCAAAAGCCCCTTAGAGAGAGTTTCTTAAGTTTTTTATCAATAGTTTCTGCCATGTATAAAGTAGATAGAATGTGCAAGCTAAATATATCATTAAATACCACTAAAGCCCTTTGTTAAGAGGAAACACAAACAATTGCAGTTTTGAAAATTACAGCAATAGCAAGAATGGGAATAGTTCCAACTTCAAAACCCAAAGAATGGTGAGAAAGCGATTTTCTCTATAGATAAAGAACCATCAAGGATTAAAAAAAAGCAATGCACAAAAGCAACTAGGCAAAACAAAAACCCCAAATAAAACACAATAAGCTTTCTGCCCCAAACAAAATATGAAAAAAACTAAACTGAATGTAGTGCTATATGAAAACAAGGATTCATCAAGCATGAAGGAAGGCCCTTGGCATGCCAGCACACCAAAATATTTACTATACCTTAGACCTTTTTCCTGTCTGTCCAAATGACTGCAATGGCCGCTAAATATATAAGAAAGATTTGTATTAAATTTCATACTGAAACAGAAAATTTGCTTCTTAATTCATACACCTAAACCACAGAAAAACTAACTGCCCATAAAGTATGGAAAATGAGGAAATCAAAGTTGGTTTTAGTAAAAGTGTATTGATTCCTCCCAAAAGCATACTTGCAGAAAATTCTCTAAAATCCTTACAAGGGTTTGCATTTTTCTTCCAGTCAGCAAATGGCCACAATTTCTGTGTTAACTGAGCACAGTGGAATTCATAAAGTGATTTCTTAGTGGCAAAATAAATGTCTTCAGTATTTTATAGCATATTACTCTTTAGCTAAGGTTGAGGGAAAACACACACACACACACACACACACACACACACACACACACACACACACACACACTGAGTTCGGAAAAGTTCCAAACTTAATAAGGTGAATGTTTCAAATACACAGCGAGTCAGAGTCCAACCACATATCTACTGAGACTTTTCAACACTGTATGAAGTACACCATCAGTTTATTAGTGATAGAATCCTATTTGCCAGGTCTGGTGTGAAGCAATGAAGTAGAAATGAAGGAAAGAGGGCAGATTGCCAATATGGATGTTCAGTGTGACTGACAGAGCCTCAGTCACTTGCTTGGGAAACCCACTGAGGAAAGTAGCTCAAGCACCCATGAATCAGAGCCAGATAGGTTTCAAATAATCTTTTCTCCCACTTCCTTCCAATCTACCTCTCCAAACCCAACTTCAAATAATACAGGATCCAGGTATCTATCATTTTTACTTATTAACACCTGGAAGCCAGTCTGGTACCAAACATAAAACAGATGCAAATTCCTTAATATTCAGACTAGTATGCTTTAGATATAAATGAAAAGAAAAAAAGTAAACATTTTATACAAACATCCATAAAAGCCTTCTTTGTAGAGCCAAAAGAAACAAGAGTACCAGTATGTCCTGCCCCCATTTTTTTACTCCCAAATTCTTCAAAGATAGGAAGCATTGTATTCTTGAGATTTTAAGCCTGGATTACACAAACTACAAATTAACAATAATAAAAGGAAAACAGAAAAAAATAAAAATGACTTCACATTTCTTATAGAGAAGATAGTCCATGTGTATGTACACATGCATACGGCAGTTCTGCCAAAGAGGGCTTGTGCACGTTGGTACTGTGCTGTTTCTGCTTACTCTCTAATTTGTATAAGAGGATATCTAATTATCTGTAACTCACATCTACAAATTAAAGTAAAAGAAGTTATGCTACCATCAAGTCAGGGCTTACAGAAAAAAAAAGGTGAGAGAAAAACAAAGATAAATACTATCAAAATGCATGTAACTATAACTAAATGAGTTCTGAGAAAGCAGAGGGGAAAAAAAATTTGTGTTGCTCCCAGTCCTCTGCTTTAACCCTCTGCAATTCTAATTATCAATGGTATAAAAGTGTCTATTAAAAATCGCTAAAAGAAAAGTGGTGATTAACTGGAACATAAATGCTGTACTCACATGCAGAGAGGTTGGACTTTAAATTTCTGAATTTCTTCTTATAAGTGAGTGACCATGGTCAAATCATTTCAATGTGCTTTTATCTGCATAAAAGTTAATACTATTTGTACTAATTCACAGGGTTCTTGAAAAGATTCAGTGAAAGGGTAGATAAAAATGGGGTGTTGAAAACTCTAAAGCACCATATAAATGCAATAGATTGCTAAAGATTAGGAACTGAGTATGCCAGAAAATCAATGTCCTATCTCTGCTTACTAACCATGAGATTAAGATACTTAAACTACTTAATATAAAAATGCTAATTTAAAAAATTCATAAAAGGGGGATGCTATGTGCTGTCTGGATAGTAATGTTTTAGAATATTCATAGATGTACACATATGTTAACTATTTCAGTTTTCATTTACAAGGAGCCTTTGATAAAGATGAGAAAAGGTGAAGGAAAACACACACAGGTAAAATTATCTTAGCTTCACTTCATTTAGCTAATATGTGCCTAGCACAGTCTAGACATTGGGCAAGGCACTGGGGCTATGAAGATTAATGACACACTTCCTGCTAAGGAACTCATAGTTCAGAATCAGAGTTACTAAACTGCCAAACAGAACCCAAGATCTTGAAAATTTTAGTCTAGTGTACTTTATATTACATCTATAAAAAACCTTTTTGTTGTGGATTAAATACTACTTGTGGTAGATGGAATTCTAAAGATGTCCCCCCAGGATTCCTATCCTCTGGTTATTTAATGAAACACAAATCCACATACTGCTGTCAAGGGATTTGGTAGATGTAACTGTGCCCCAAGTCCATTTATCTTAAGATCTGGACGTAAGATTCACAGGGGTGTGACCCAATCAAGTGAGCCCTGAAAAAGCTGGGAGTTTTCTCTGGTTGGGAGCAAAAGGGCAAGTCAGAGAGATGTAAAGTGTGAGAAGGACTTGACATATCTTTGCTGGCTCTGAGGATGGAGGTACTAAATGAAGAGGATTACGTACGGTAGCCTCGGAGCAAAGAATGGCCTTAGCTGATAGCAGCCGGGAAACATGGAACTCAGAACTACAGCTGCAATGAACTAAGGTCTGCCAACAAGAATGAGCCTTGAAGCAAATTCTTCCCAGAGTCTTCAGGGAAGGGCCCAGCCTGGCGGACACCTTTGATTTCAGCCTTGTTAAAAAAACCTCAGCAAAGAACCCAATGGAGCCCATTATGCGCTGGTAAAGGGGTGTTGTTTTAAGTCTTTGAGTCTGAGATAATTTTTATGCAGCAATAGAAAACTAATATACCGAATATATAAGTAAACGATAAATTGCCAAAGAGGCATTATTCAATAAAATTACTTATTTCATTTTAAATAGCAAAGAACTGAAATTATATAATATATACTAGAACATCTGCTGTACACACATGCATACACGACAAAGCAGAGAAAACAAATTATGTTTATTGACGCAAACAGCCCTTATTTCATATTTTTGCTAACTACTGGGCAGCTAGATTTGGCTTTAAATAGAAATTTTATATTTGATATACAATTGATTTTCTATTGTATATATAAAATGATATACAATTATTTTGACATTTTATTATTTAGAGCACACTTTTCATCTTTAGCAGAACTTCATTGTCACAACAAAAATTTAGCGGCTTGTTTAATGGACCTTTACTTAGTCCAGAGAGATGCTGTTTAAATTAGAAATTAGAAGGCTTAGGGACAAAGTCCCCAATTTGTAATTTACACTGTTTTATACTGAAGTATAGGACAGGAAATAGGTCAACAAATGGGAACAGAATATGAAATATCCTTAATAGAATTTCAGCTTGAAACTGATTTTAATACACTGTCAGAGCTACCAGTTAGTTGAGTCTTAGAAAAACTGAGAAATAATAGCCTTTATAAGCTATATAAGCATTAGTATTAAAAAAATCAAATATCATTCAAGTTAGATAAATTTCAACTTATCCCAAAAAAGGGGATACTTTTTTTTGTAATTAATAATTATTATGAAGAAAACAAAGTGTAATGGTTGCAACCTTTCAGCTAAGACTCTTAATACACCTTGAAGAACTTAATAATTCTCAGTACTTTTCTAGGTAAAGATTAATTATAATTATGTGGAAGAAGATAATAAATTAAAATGTTCAGTGTCCAGCTAAAGGTCAGCAGCAGTACAAATAACAGATGCCAGGCTACTAATTTACACTGTAATAACAGTTTTCTGAGTTGGAAGAGCCGACTTTAAAAAAAAAAAATCAGGCTGGACATGGTGTCTCATGCCTGTAATTCCAGTACTTTGCAAGGCTGAGGCAGGAGGACTGCTTGAGCCCAGAAGTTCAAGACCAGCCTGGGCAACAAAGTGAAATTGCAACTCTACAAAAAATTAAAAATTTAGCCAGGTAAGGCGGCATGTGCCCTTAGTCCCAGCTACTCGGGAGGCTGAGGAGGGAGGAATGCTTGAGACCAGGAGTTGAAAGTTGCAGTGAGACATAATCATGCCACTGTATTCCAGTCTGGGAGACAGAGTAAGGCCTCAACTCAAAAAAAAAAAAAAAAAAAATCATCAATATACCAACAAACCAAACACAATTATTAATTTGTATTTACCGCTTGGCCCATTTGAGCCATAAAACAGAGTTAAATATCCAAAGGCTTGACTCTTAGCCCTAAAGAAAAAGTCCCTAGAGAAAGTTACAAACTGGTTTATAGTCATTCCTTATATTAAATGAAGATAAAGGGTCAGCCCATCCTACTAGCAATGTACATAAAAATTATCCAAGGAAGTAAAAACAGTATGCAAAATAAAAATTCTATATGTGTCAGATGAGGCAAACATCTTTATACATGTTATAGTAAAGTAGAGTTAAAAAGTATACATGCAATAAGTGCTATCACATCTTCAGTCTGGGTGACAGAGTGAGACTCTGACTCAAAAAAAAAAAAAGTTTAATTCATTAAATATTAAGCAAATTCATAGAAGCAGAAAACTGATTATCGCATGTTCTTACTTATAAGTGGGTACTAGACACTGGGCACAAGGATGGGAACAACAGGCACTGGGCACTGCCAATGGGGGAAGGGAGAGGAGGAGGAAGGGGAAACAAGAGGTGTAAAACCACCCATTGGGTAACATGATCACCAAGGGGTAGGGGGTAAGGGGTGGGGGCAGCCTCATCAGAAGCCCAAATCTTGCCTTCATACAATATACCTATGTAACAAATCTTCAAACATAACACTTGATTCTAAAATAATTTTTTAAAATACAGCATACAGACACAGAATTCAAGAGCAAGAAATAAAAACTATTGCACTGAAATTCTGGGGAGTTCATGTCAAGAAGTAAGTTTTACTTTGCTAAAGAAAAAAATCTATCTGGTATGACAATAGGACAAATTTGAGAAATCATAAATTGTGCAATTACCAATAAAAATTAGTAATAACTATGATGATGATTATAACAATATTATTAGTATCTACCATTTATTAGGCTCTAACTATGTACTA